CGCTGCAGTGTCTCCTTTCCATTCTCCAGGTATCTTTGGAGCCACTCCACACAGGTGCCCTCCAGGTAGGCTCTATAGTACTCAGTCACATCGCTCTCCTCCCACTTGCGCTTGGTGATCTGAGCGGCCATGTCTGCAGCGGTCCAGGAGCGCAGGTCCTCGTTCAGGGCGATGTAATCACGGCCGTCATAGGAAAACTGCATGTACCCGCGGAGGAGGCGCCCGTCCGGACCCAGGTCACAGCCATACATTCTCTGTATTGTGTGAGATCCTGACCCCATCCCTGAGGTCAGCCCTGTCCACAGAGGTCAGCCCCGCCCCATAAGGCCTTTAGGTAATGAAGGGTCAGAGGTCACATAGTTCTGACATCATAATGAAACCTTAGGGAATCCCTAAGACTCTTTCCAGGTCTCAGAGTCGGGCAGGTCCTCGGTCTCGGGGTGAAGATGGACCCGGAGACTTGGGGCGTCCTGTCCATGGTCTAGGGGTCACTCACCGTCCTTGCTCTGGTTGTAGTAGCCACGCAGGTTCCCCAGGTTCACTCGGTTAATCTGTGCAGCGCTCTTCATGATCTGTGTGTTCCGCTCCCAATACTCCGGCCCCTCCTGCTCTATCCAGGGCGCCCGCGGCTCCATCCTCGGATTCGGGGCATTGCTGTCGAACCTCACGAACTGCATGTCGTCCACGTAGCCGACAGCGATGAAGCGCGGCTCCCCTCGGCCGGGCTGGGACATGGCGGAGAGGAAATACCTCATGGAGTGCGGGCCTGGGGACAGGAGCAGCTGAGATCACTGACCCCCATCCTCCTCCCCGAGAGAACAGAGAAAGGGGGGCGGGAGGAGCAGGGCCGGGACGCTCAGGAGGAGACGGGGAAGCGGTCAGGACAGAGTGAAGGACCCCCATTCCCCCAAGGGTCCTGCAACACCGCCTGCCGGTCCCCTGGCTCCTCTCTCCACAGAGCCCGTTCCCCTCCGGACCCCGCACTCACCCGACAGTGTTTGAGTCAGGACCAGGGTCCCTGAGAGCAGCAGGAGGAGGGTCCGGGGCCCCATGACTCTGATATTGCAGATCGATCGAGGAAGGACCTGCTTCCCTGTGGGTCACAGTGGCCTTTAAAACCAGGAGTCTCAGAGACCCAACAGGAATGAGGACTGTGTTTACGTCACGTGTGTCCACGCAGAAGCAGCTGACACAGTTGATGAGAAAAAGTGAAACTCTGGGGAGATGGGGAATCCCCAGTGCTGGGTCTCCCCGCCCCTGGTGCTGCCTCTGAGATCTGAGAGCCAAGCCCAGGACCTGGGACTCTGCCCTGAGCCCTCTCCTCCTCTCCCAGCCTTCTGTGCTG